GCTCATGTGTTTTTGAAGCTTATAATGCTCACTTTTGTGAAACAAACACTTGTAATTGAGATACAAACAAATTAATAATGAAAACATCACTGGACCCAATCGGTTATTCTTACAGAAATCGAACATGCACCTGCAACTACAGCTCAGTCTTGCAGAAACCAGGCCCATGAGTGAGAACACATCTTCAGATGTTCTCTCAACTAAAGTAGCACCTCTTGATAAACCAGTGATTTTGTTTTGGTCGTGTTCTCCTATACTATGTTGGACATGATCCGAGTTTTTAGTTTCCCGAAAAATGACCTGCTTTTGGACAGCTTGAGCTTCTTCTTCCAATCCATGCTTTTTTTCTGGAAAAAGCTGCCCCAGTTGTCCTCCTCCTCATCTACTACCCAAGGGACCCAGGCACCTCCATTCAGATAGGGGTCAGCCCGCGGATCCTCTGATGGGTACCTTACAGGCACCGCAGTGCGATTGTAGTACACCAGTCTGGCAAGCAGTTGCTTCACAACATCCGGTCTCTGCTCAGAAAGGTCATAACGTTCATTGGGGTCCCCGGAGATGTTAAAAAGCCACACTGTTTTTCGAGGACGTGTGTGACGCTCCTGCTTCCACCAGCTACTGGGGAAACCTGGAAGTATTTGTGGTGGAATCCAGTCTCCATAACCAGGGTCTCCTGTCAGAAGTTTCCAATCTCCAGCTCGTATGGAGGCCTGAATGGCTGTATTCCAAATCCCATATCCTTTCTGCAGAGAGCCAGTGCGTGCATGGTTATACAGAGGGTCGATGTTGTGAAGGATTTCCAGCCTAGGTGATTCTTTTCCTTCACTGATGGCCTCCCACGCATTATACCCATCAACCCCCTCAGTAAGGGACTCATCACCACCTGCTAATCCCACTAATGTGGGATACCAATCAGTAATGTGCACCAGTGCTTTGCTCACCCTCCTCTTTTTCCTTAACAGAGGGCTGTGGACGAATCCCAGACCCCGGATGCCACCTTCCCAGTAGGTTCCTTTACGTCCTCTAAGAGGCCAGTTACTTCCGCCAGACAAGGGCTGACCGCCATTGTCTGTAGAGAAAATGATGACACTGTTCTGATAGTATCCATACTTGCGGAGAGCGTATGTAACATTACGAACCGCTTCATCTACAGCTGACACCATAGCAGCATACTTCCTGCGTGCCACATTTTCCAACCCAAGGTAGGGGTAGATGTACTCATCTGGATATTGTAAGGGTGTGTGAACAGCTTGGAAGGAGAGGAAGATGAATAGCGGTTGGGATTGAGGATCATGGGTTGCCAGGATCTTGCGTACTCTCTTCGTGTACAGATGCGTGGAGTATTTTCCACTCTGACCCCAGGCAACTGACTCCCCCTCATGGAGATCGAAGCCACACAGCCCAGAGCCATCACAGCCATCATAGGTGTAGTAGTTAACACTCCCCGTTAAGGATCCAAAGTATGTGTCAAAGCCACGGCGAGTGGGTAAGCACTCCTTCTTATAGAACCCCAAGTGCCACTTCCCTACCATGTGGGTGGAGTAGCCGAGTTCCTGTAGCCTCTGAGGGAGCGTGACCTGGTCAAAGGGCAGGCAGTTAGGCTGGCGAGGTCGGATGATGGAGTGCTGAAGACCAGTGTGGATTTGGTACCTGCAGAATTTAAGATTAAGAAAATATTTAGAAGGAAAAATATATTGTTTGCATTTAGGGATAAGATTCGTTTTTGTGGTTGTATATCTTTTGGGCGCAATAATAAAGGAGGGAAATCTGATATCAAGACAGCCTTAATCCATATCATCCAATTACATCCAACAAGTTAAACAGAAATGTGAATAAGAGGGGTTGTAAAGAGGTTTAGAAAAATAGAACAGGGAGAAGGAGACTGCCCTGTTTTTCTCAAACAGGTTATGGTGATTGGCATGAAGATACACTCCAGATTTGTGTCTGTTTATATTTGTATGCCAGTCAAAACACAGACAGAAGGCTGTGTAATAGCAAGCACATCCTTTACATACTTTTTCTTTAATTGGAAATATATAGTCGGAAATCACATGTTTGGACCTGATTGATGCTATAGCTTTGAAACATAACAGCACTTTCTAGATTTGCCATTATCTCTAGAAGTGTGGTCTTGGTTCCACTGTCCCTATGCATTCAAATACTTTAGCTCACAAAACAGGAAGCTGCTTTAAAATCCAGTAATTTAATTCATCAGGCAGCAGTTACATCTATGTTAAACATCAGTATGGTCTAATTCTAGGAATACAAAGCATTTATTTTAAATAAGGAGCAGTCCAGTCACAGGACACTTTACCTGCCAGTGATGAATTGACTTCTGGATGGGGTGCAGATGGGCTGGATGTAATAATTCTCCAGCTTCACGCCATCCGCAGCCAGTTTATCCAGCACCGGTGTCCTGATGTCTGAGCTATGATAGCCAATGTCATTGAACCCCTGGTCATCTGTCATAATGAAAATAATATGAGGGGGTTGAGGGACAGGAAATCTGCCAATAAAAGGTTTTTCTGGATCGTTTTCCACCTGGTTAGGGCTCATCAGATCCCAGGTCAGGTACCCGAGGCTCAGGAGGCTCATCATGGAGAAACCGGTGAGAGCTGTCGTTGCCATGGTTCCTGTGACGCTTTAAATTACTTAAGCTTGCTTGTATTTAGTAAGCTGGCGCTAAATAACTATGCAGTTGGACTCAGGGTTTAAAAAAATCCCCTCATAAGGTGTTGCAAGTAACCCCTTGTACACTTGAATGGCAGTTAAGCAACCTAAAACTAAGAAAAGCTACACCTCCAGCCTCGCTGAATCTCCAAACACTTTCTGCCACCTTTGAAAGCATTCCACTTTTCCAAGTGTTCCTGTTAACCCCGCCCAGTTGCCTTGCTGCCTCACTGAAATAATATCAGCCCCTACTGACCCCACTGCCAAAGAAAATACAGTATTTCTACTACATCCAGGTGTTAATGGAGAGTTTACATCCCACATTAGTGATACTTCTGCTGAATTTGGACATTGTGCTGCATTATTCTAGATATTAATGTAGCTTTGTTGGTCTTTGACTGTAAAAAATTGCTTTAAATTGATACTTAGTACTCAAAAGAATTGCATCATAGACTCTCCTCTTCATTTGTGCTCCGTCATGATCATCATTTCAATATGCCACCCTATAAACTTCAGAAAACCTTAGAAAGCAAGAGCAATATCTCCCCATCTGACCTGGTTAAAACACAGTTGACAGAGGGTCTACAGAAAAAAAACACTGTGTGTGGGGGAGATTTGAGTCTCAGGGTGGCTGTGGGGCCCTACAGACACAGTTCTCCACTCTACTCTGTACTGCACTCACAAACACTCTTATTTTTCCTGCTGTTTCTGCGCAGTGCAGACCCTAGGAGAGAGACAGAACAGACTTCTCTGACTCTGATAACATCTCCAGCCGGGCGTCATAGAAGCACTTTACAAATCATCCAGTGGGTCAACAGAAAGCAGCAGGACTGCACAGCCTCACCCACAGCTCCTGAGTGGAGGTATTTCTCCACAGTATCTGCACTGTAGACCGCCATCATGATACAGGTTCACTTTGACTGGGAACAGTGGAATAGCTGTAGAGAACAGCTAAAAATCAGACTATAAAAAGTAGAAAATAATTAATCTAACATACATTGGGTATTTGCCTGTCACTGTGAATCACAAGTGTTTTTGAGCTCTGGTGCTCTTGAAGCTAGGATCAGGCTTCATTTCATAGCAGAGCTAAAAGCACAAAGTGATTGACGCTGTTCCCTTCAGGGCCGTCTCCTTGCAAAACACTGCACAGTTTCCACTGAACATTGCACTCCTTCTTGAGGTCCTTCATTGGCAAAAATAGCAACAATGCAATTCTGGGAAACAGGACGATTTTACGGGGAATCAAATTTGAAAAATAAGGCTGGTGGTTAATATTTCTTTTGCTTTAAAACTTGAATATGATGAATACTTCAAGATCACCAACGTCAAACGTGGCTAGCAGACAAAAATAAACTGATATACTGAAGCGAGGAGTTGGTCAACATAGTGAGATGTAAAACAGCACACCTTGCAAGTGTTGATATTGAGGTTTGTGGGCATGGAGGTCGTGGGGTGCAAAAGGAAGAATGACCCCGCCCCCCAAAAGAGTATAAAGCTGAGGTTGATGGGCATGTTTGTCTTGAAGCAGGAAAGGCATCTTTAGAGCGGAGCTTTAGACTTTATGACAGAACAAACTGAGAACGAGGGAGGAAAAGGGACCTGAAGTTTTACACAATCATGTTTATTCATGTGCTGTTCTAGAGGGAATACATTACATATCAAGATTGTGATATTACTGCTT